CCCGTGTGGAAAAAGCCACGATCTTGCCCTCAAGAGTTCGGGGCCCCCGGCGGGGGCCCATGAGGGCTGATCCATATGGCGAATGGATCGCCCTTATGATCGATTAGCAAAATTTTCTAAGTCCAAAAATCAAATATTTTTTTATCAACAAAAAATGAATGTTTCCAATGATTCAAAACAACGAAAAACGCGTTTTTAATAAAAATATATTTACACTTTTTTGAAAATTCGCCTGAGATGATTCATGATAATAATCATAAAGCATATAATTAATTATATTTTATAAATTGCATTTGATTGGAAAATATAATTTAATATCTTAACTTTAACTAAATGATGTTAAGCACTTTTCTTTGTTAGGTATTTTTGAAGTTTAAATAGCATCAAGAAGTTAGCATTCGTTTTGAAGTAGCGTGCGTAGCGTAGTTGGTAAAGCGTTAGACTCATAGTCCGTAGGTCGTAGGTTCGATTCCCCCCATGCGTTAGATTTATTTATTTCTCAGGTTTGCGTTTAATCATTAATTCTATGTATGAATTAATTGAAAAATGAAAATATCCGTTAATAGTATGCATAAATTACATATTTTTTAATTTTTTAATTAATTAATTTATTATTACTTTTAATTATATCCGACAGTTAATTAATTAGAACGTTAATTAATAAATTCAATTTGAGTAAGAATTTAATTTAAAATTGAATAATTATTAAATAAATATGTTATTTATTCATAACTTAAGCTTATTTATTATTAATTAACTTTTATTATTAATATTATTGATTAAAAAACATTATGGCAAACTTGAGTGCAAGATGAGGGCAAACGTGAGGGCCCATAAGGGCGCCCGTAGGGGCACCCTCATGGATCGCCCATGCGGGCGCCCTCATCGATGAGCATGTCGTTTCCATGAGGGGCCCCTATGGATCATCCATATGCGGCCCTCATGGCATGAGGGCGATCCATAAGGGCCCCCGCTGGGGGCCCACATCACTTTTCCACACGGGTAGTAATTTTTTGTTTATTATTTAAAAATAAAAAAATTAATTTGTCAAGAAAAAAAAATATATATATATTTGTTTTAATAAATCAAATATAAAATTTCATAAATTCAATAAAATAAAATCAAATTTAAAAAAAGAAGTTGCTTAGAATTAATTAAAATTATTTTACCAAACATTTTTTTATTTGTATTTTTATTTTTATGATTCAATGCTTTTAATATTCATTTGAAACAAATAAAAAATATCTTTGATAAATTGTTTATTTTCAATAATATAAATTAAAATATTTTAAATTTTGTTATTATTTTTGTATTCTGGATTTTGTTAATTTTTGGTGTTTTTAAATAAATTAGCCTGAGGAGGATGATAAACCACACTATCGTAACGTCGCAACTTTAAAAAATTACATAAACTTGTTTTATGTTTCTTACATGTTTCTTATATTTTCTGTAAACAAAACACTAAAAAAAATTCGTGACATCTTTTTAAAGAAAATAAAATAAAAAAACGTTAGTTTCTGTATTGTTATCTTTTTTACTCTGATGTCAAGAAATCATTGGTTAATTTTAATTTAAAAAAAAAAGAAAAATTAAGTCATAGAGACTATAAAATATAAATATATAATAAAATAAATGTTTTATCATCTAGTTCAAATTTTTTATCATAAGATTTTTCTCTTTCATAAGGAAAATTAATATTTTCTATTTATAAATTATTAAAAAAGCATTGCAAATCATGAATATAATAGAATTATAATAATATAATAGTATAATAGATAATATAATAAAAGGATATCTAACAACTGATAGGAAAAAAATTCCCTGACCTGAATTACACTAAAAAATTTTTATTTTGATCAAATAAAATTTATTTTGATACAATTAAATCATTTACCTGTCTATTATCTACTAATTTCATATGTATTTCGACCAAATAAATAATGTTCGTAAAAAATAAAATATTTAAGTGAAATAAATAAACTAATTGGGGACGTATAAATATTCTCAACATTTAATTTAAAAGAATTTTTACGGCGTCAAATCTTAAATTAACAAATTTTTATTTAGTAAAATTATATAAAGCAAATTTTCTAGTACATCGAATTTCAAATTAATAAAATTTCAATTTAACGGAATTTATGTCAAGAAAAATTGCTTAAAGAAATATTTTTTTAATAGAATTGTTATTTTAGAATTTCTATTTAACAAAATTCCTTAATTAACAAAGTTTTTATTAAAGAAAATTTTAATGCGAACTAATTCTTATTTAACAGAATTCTCATTTAAGAAAAATTCTACTTAGTTCTTTTTTTTGTCAATTTTTATAGACATAAATTTGGTTAAATTGAAATTATATTAATTTAAAATTTTTAAAAAGTATTAGAAAAAATGCTTTATAAGAGTTCTGCTAAATAGAAATTCTTTGAAATCAAATTTTAGTTAAATGTAAATTAAAATTTTTGCATAATATAAAATTCACTTTATACAATTTTGCTAAAAAGGAATTCGATAATTTAATATTCAACGGCGTAAAAATTTTTATAAATTAAATGTGGGTATTAGAATTGAAAAATAAATTATTCGTATTAATGAATAATTTACTTTATTTCAAGTTGAATCGATAAAATAAAATTGTATCAAATAATTTTTATTTATATTTTAAAAAAGCAAATATTTCACTTAAAAAAATGAATTAATTCTTATCCAATTAATTTAAGATAATATTTTTTAAAAAAATTTAAATATTTGAATTTTTTTGAAGGATTATAAATGAAAGATGATAAATTTATAGATAAAAGTTAGATTTAAAGGAGAGATTTTCCCAGTATAGTAATTAATTTTTTTTACTGTTATTTTCAATGTTTTATACAAATTTGAATTACATACATCTAATAAATATAAACGTCTTTTAAAATTAATTTTTCACAAAACGAAAATTACTTCTAAACTAATTTTTTTCTTGAAAAATACCAAAAAAATTTTTATTTTATCAAACCGAAAACCGTCTTGTAAAATATACATGTCACGGTGGTACCTAAAAATTTAATTTTTTTTTGTGTTGTGTTGAAATTTATTTCTCGTAAATTTTAATACAATACTTCGACAATAAAATTCAATCGTCAGCATAATGCGATGAGAACGGACTCGGGCCTTGTTCTTGGAATGTTATGTGTGCACATATTATTATTATAACTATTTAGAATAAAAATGTAAATCGCAAATGGATATATGTGCATGTACTCTAATATAATTTCAAATTTCTACGGGCATTTATAATTAAATATAACCTTAAAAGGTGAAAATCATTATATATATGAAATATAATCGACAATCTTTGAATTTAATGTTGCAAATGTTGCGAATGCGTTAACGAACATTGCGGCAACGCTCCGAATGCGTTGGACGTTGCGGCAATGTTCCCAAACAAAAATTGTAGAAGTTAGTAAATGGGAATGTTGCGAATGTGTTAGTGAACATTGCGGTAGCGTTCTAAGCGCATTAAACATTGCGGCAATGTTCTCCACTTAAAATTGAAGGAAGTAGCGAATGGTAATGTTGCGAATGTTGCGAGTGCGTTAACGAACATTGCGGCAGCACCCTGAATGCATTGGACGCTGCGGCAATGTTCATAATTTAAAATTTAACGGAATTATTGATTGCAAATGATAACAATGGATACCTTGTTTTGTAAGCCACGATATTATCACTTGCGGGTCTAAAATGAGTATGGATAAGTACAGGAGCCACATTAGAAATTGGACTTCTCGCGAAAAAAAAGGGATATAATAATAATAATTCAAATAAATCTACGCGATGAGCTTTTCCTTGAACGTAATTCTTCAGCTTCCATCCTTTCTTACTCTACCCCCCCATTCTTTTTTTTTAACGTATCCTGGGCCTAACAATCCTACATGCTCATGACAATACAACATCAAAGTTGTAATTGTTGCAAAAAAAAAAGGAAGGGTAAAAATACCAAAAATCAAATCATTTTCCAACAAGGAAAATTCATAAAATAAATCCAAAAGACAACAAGTCTTTTCAATAATAATTATGCTTGATTTTATCAAGTGCATATTATTATATTTGGCTATACCATTAAAAGAAAATAAAAACTCAGCATTATTGGCATGGTAACAGGCCCAGAGCTCACGCCTTGTTCACGTGTTAAAAACCCTTAGTCCACAAAATTTTCCCACCTGAAGTCTCTAAACGTTCATATAAAAGTGCATCGCGGAAGTCAATTAATCGCAGTACAACTCTCATTCGCGAGTCAGCTCTGAAATTTTTCAGAGGCATAAAAACGATTTTTGAGACGCCGGGACTAAGCCCGTCCGTGAGTCGGTTTTTCAATTTTTGCAATCCACTACATAGATAGTGATTAAAATTGAACGGACGAAAATTTAAAGTGAATACTTCACGCCGACGAAGTCCAACGGAAGTCGCGTTTAATAAAAATCCAATAATTTGAATAAAATTAAATTATTGAATTTTTGTCTTTTGACCGGCCAGTCCGCACGTGTGGTGCCTGCGCTGTTTAAATTCGATGGACCCGTGAGTGCATTTTCGTGCGCTACCCATTGACATTTTCGCGCTTTCATAAGTGTGCATATTTTTCCGCCCGTCGGATAGCAGCTCGACGCCTCGCCCTCGTTAGCTTGCGACGGTAGAATAAGCAGTATCGTAAGTCTTTTAAAACATGTATCGTTCCTTCCTCTTATCTTACTGTATTATTTCTATATTTTAAAATCAAAGATTTCTTTTTATAATAAATGTATAAAAGGGTCTTAATTGTTTCATTGTGTTTATTCCCTAAAATTCAATTTTTCAAATAACGTAACTTGGCAGTTTTCTTCTAAAAAAGGATACACGATCCCATAAAATTAAACGAAATTTTTAATTTCGGCAGCTTGGTGCCTCCAGGACATATAAAAATAATAATCTTTATAATTAATATTTTTCGGTTCGTAACAAGCTGATGGTGGCAGCGGTGGGATTTTTCCTTACGTTGCTGTCAGCTACGTTATCGGAACAATTGATTTTCATCAATTGTCACTTTAGAGTTTTTCAAAAAATTTAATTTTGACAAAATTTCACATCTACTTTTAATTTAACATTCTTATACTTATACCTTACTAACATTTTAAAACTAAAAATCAATGATTCTAATTTATTGAGTGATTGATTTTCTTTTCCTTGTATTGAAAGAAAAGTACATAATGACTTTGTCTTAAAAATAAATTCTGGATTATGGCTCTCCAACTTATGTTGTTGATGATGACGCAATCCTAATTTATGATTTTGGCTCTCCGACCTTGGTCGTTGATGATGACATTATCTGAGACATTGGTTCCGAAAATTCTTTCAATTAAAAGAAAAGAATAGTTAAAAACTTTCATCAACTAATTTCAAACTTCTTTTTGAGAATTGTGTAAGAGAGGATTTTTCCGAGGAAAAACCTTTTCAATTTCTAATGCATTCAAAAAGTACATGACGACCTGTTTGAATTGCGAAAAATTGTGATTTTGGCTCTCCGACCTTGGTCGTTGATGATGACTCATTCACAATTTTGATTTTGGCTCTCCGACTATGTCGTTGATGATGACTAATCGAAATTCATAACAGTAACTCTGGAAATTTGTTTCTTTTCGAAATAAGAGAAGAATCCTCATCGAGAAAAACAGAAAGAAGTGATATTTCTTTAACTGCCTAATATTTTCCTCCATTCTTTATACTTTACTTTGAGAATTCAAAAGAGAAAAATTTTCAAAAGGAAAATTTTCAATTTCCTAATGTATTCAAAGATTTAAGTGACAACCTGTTTGAATTGCGAAAAATTGTGAATTTGGCTCTCTGACCTTGGTCATTGATGACGACTCATTCCCAATTTTTGATTCTGGCTCTCCGACTATGTCGTTGATGATGACTAATCAAAATTCATAACAGCGAATCCTAAAAATTTGTTTCATTTTGAAATAAGAAAAAAATTCTCATTGCAAAAGAAAGAAACCTATTTTTCTTCTATACTTAACATGTCTTTAATAGAAATTTTTCTTTTATTTACTTTCGTGTTATTTATCGTCACCTTTTCGCTCTCTCTAATTACGGAATTATCAGGAATCTTATTTCAACTTTTCTGTTTAAAGGCCACTTTACTCTGTTAAAGAAGTAATTGAAAACTATTGATTTTTATTTCTTTTTTTTGCTATGAATCATTCAAATTATGCCACATAAAATTAGGCCTCGTGGCGGTCGCTCAAAAAAACGAATTAATTCACGCAATAAAAATATTCAAAACAAATCGAAAAATTCAGATACGAAAATAGAGACTACCCCCGTTAAAAACGAAATTGTTAAGGAAAATCAAGTTTCGGTAAAATCAGAGTATAAATTTCATCCCTTAAATAGACGACCAAAACCAGAATCACAAATTAAATTAGATTATTTTGTGACATATAACCCGAAACATCCACTTCACCACGGAGGCATTGTTAACCGACGAGAATTACAGAGACTCTCACTCACACTTGTTGGATCAGCTGACGTGCTTACTCATACGACTAAACAAGACCTTAGAGTTCGAAGAATAGAGACGGTCAGTTTCTCGTTTAAAAGACTGAACGGAAGAATAATTTTATTATAATCAAATTTTTTTTTGTCATGTCTAAATTACTATGACTATTCGAGTACAATATAACAGTGCACAAACTGTGACAGTACATTCAGAACATCTCTGTAATAGTTTAGAAATCCCTATCGATAACGATACTAAACTTAATTATATTTGTGAGACACAACTTAAGACAGACTGCGCGATTCTTGGCTTCCCGTCGGGAGATTGCATAAATGACGAATATGCAGAAATCTTAGGCATTGTTTTTCTACCAGTAAATGGAATCGAGATCTGTTTTTGTGTAGTGGACTCTTTCTTCTCGCAAGATTGTCACATTACAACGGGAATAATTGGCAGACAAAGCGCCATTGAATTGGGATTACTATCATTCCAAAATTTATAAATACTGTTTGAAATTTTCTTTTAAAAATAATTTTTACTTAAGGTTTTCCCTTTAGGAGAGTTGTAGCAAAACGAAGTTTTGTAATCATTAAATTAATTATAAAACTAGTTACTCTACATCGCTGTTGCCGGTACGACACCGCGAGATCGGAAATTCCTATGCTGCATTTGAATAATTTTCCGAAAAGAAAAGTGAGATAGGAAGAAAATCAAATTCTCTTTCGCATCTCGTAATATTCAAAAGCGCTGGTTTCAGTACGATCTCCCCGTGAGGAAAGCTTCTTGCTGAGTTGTTACACTGCGAAAATTCTCCAATTCGGAAAAACTTAAAAGAAAATCTGAATCCTGAGAATTTCCTTAATATCCATGCAGAAAAGTCGTTACAAAACGAAGTTTTAGAATCATTAAATTGATTATAAAACCAGTTACTCTCCATCGCTGTTGCCAGTACGACACCGCGAGATCGGAAATTCCTATGCTGCATTTGAATAATTTTCCGAAAAGAAAAGCGAGATAGGAAGAAAATCAAATTCTCTTTCGCATCTCGTAACATTCAAAAGCGCTGGTTTCAGTACGATCTCCCCGTGAGGAAAGCTTCTTGCTGAGTTGATATAAATGTAACGAATTCCTGACGTGGAATTAATGAAAATCAGTGAAAAGAAAGGAAAATTTTCGATAATGAATACTTTAAAATGTCCAGTATAAACGGATTTTCGCTCAATAAAAACCCTAGAGGAAAAAGAGCAGGAAAGAGGTGGGGAAAAATTGCGGGAAAAAGGAGTGCACCCACAATTACAGAAAAACAATCAGCGACAAGAGTTCCGAGTTCGGAAATTTATTATAACCTTACCGAACCGACATTAAAAATCAGACCCATTAATAAAGTAAAACCTTTGTCCCCGGTTGTCCTCCCGATAGCAGGTCCAAATAACCCCCAAGTTCCCCCTCCACAAGCTCGAGTAATTGACCTTGAAAGAGAGGAAGAATTGGCTCGTCGCAGAATAGAACTCTTACAACACCACTTAAACGATAATTCAAACGACTCTGACGAGACTACGGCATATGACAGTGACGTAATGATTTTGGACTGAAAATAATTAATAATTTTTCTAAAATGGTTTCACCTATTCTGACTGACAAAACACACAAAGATTTAACACCTATGCCGACGTCGCCTTGTAACATCCCCTTAGTACTGGTTTTTAAGAAAGCGAATAACCGATTTTACGTCGACTATGCTCAATTAAACAAAAATTTCAAATCAAGTACCATCATTAGCGACACAAACAAAATCAGCCAACGCGACAGATTATAATTTTCCGCATGCTCAATTTCCTTGAAGCAAGTTTGCAGGAATATTCCGCGGTGGCGTAAGAAAAAAAAAAAAAAAAAAAAAAAAAGAGAAAATAAGAGAGATAGTTTGTTCCCCTCTCGAAAAGAAGAGACTGCCAAGTTTGCGTATAAAAAAACAAAAAAGGGGCACATAAGTATATGTGTATGTGTTCGTGGGCATATATGTATGTATATATATATATAATATATACATGTATGTTTAAACACGCATATCATCACCCCTTGTAACAAATCAATTTTTTTTATTCCTTTTTGTCAATTAAGACCCTTTTAGCAAAAATGCCGGACAATCCCGAAGATAACCCCGGCGCAAGGGGCGGGAATAATCACTCTTTATTAGAGACAGAACATGCCAACATAACACTTCGACAAATTAACCAGGACACTACGGCCGCTATGGCATCTGTCCTCGAATGTATGACCCTACAACAGAGTACATACCACATCCCTTTCTTTGACGGAAAGAACCCACCCTTAAGAGAATTTCTACAAGATGTAGCAAATGGTGTCGTATTCACCACCGATGCCACAGAACCGGGTTTCCTCAAAGCAGTCCTTAGTAAGTTAAAGGGCGCAGCTAGGGAAAGTGTTAGAGATAAACATTTCAATAGAGTGGACGAGCTTGTTGCTCATTTGCAAAAACGATTTGCATCTACAAAGAAATACCAATGGTATTTCGAGAATATCATGACCATAAGGATGAAACAATCCGAAACTGTGCGGGACTATAACGATAGGTTGCGCGGACTTCTAAGTGGTGCAAAACATGCCCTCGAAGCAAAGTACAATCGACGATTTCGCGAAGCCGATGTCCCCAACGCGCGTACGCGAGTGTTTCCCGAAAGTGAACTCTTAATACAACCGATTATAGATTGTGCCCTCGAATCTTTCATTCGCGGACTACCAGAAGAAATGTCAATTTTTGTTGACACTAGAAACCCCGTAGACTTAGAAGAGGCCTGCGAACATGCCCTTCGCGCAGAGGAGCGCCAAAAATATTTTGATAAAACCAGGGCATCTTCGTATCACATTACCAGATCAGAGGAACGACCAAGATCCCCCAGCCCTTATTCCAGACAAGCCGAGAAACCATCTTCGGACAAACGGAAATCCGACGGTGAAAAGGAAACCTCGATTCTGAGATCATCACGAGGATCAAATAATGAGACGCCACAGTTTACCCCTGAGCAACTAGCGGCCTTCTACAGGACGATGATGCCTCAATTCATTCCACCTATGAATTACCAACCCCCTCTTCAACCGATGGCGTACCAACCCTCTCCTATGCAGCCCATGGTCTACCAATCTACCCCCG